AGGTCACTGTGGATTCCCAGAACCTGATTCTTAACTGCTATTTTGCATTGCATATAGTAGGCACACAGTAAAAGTTCACTGAATTTAAAATGATATTTGTCAAACTGGATCCAGACCATCTCCTCTGAGCTACTCCTTCAAAAATATTTTTCTATTTGTTGAGGAGAAAAGACAATATGAACCTAAAAGAGGAAAGGGGTCTATTTTTTCAGGGCATTCTCATGTAAGGAAAGATCTTAACATGAATTCAAATATATTAATAAACAATTTGTGAGGACAACTGCCAATGCTAGTAAATTCACCCCTCTGCTACATAGCTACTGCTTATTCAGGAATTACACAGGCTTGCCAATGATAGCTGTTGACTGAGAATAAATATTTGATTTTGTTGTCTCACCCTACCCCATTTATTAAACAAGTTCTTTTACATAACTATTCAAGAAAGTGAAAATTCTGAAGTCTTTACTGGAGATATTTCTGACACATTTATGGTGTTAAGTTAATGATAATTTTGGGGTACCTGATCTTTTTTCTTTCTTTCCTCATTTTTTAAACTTTGCATACGTTTGCTCAAAATGTCTGGATTTCGTAGCCAATTATAGGACACTTTTCATAGCAAACCTAATGAAATAATGTCAACTCACAGCTATGACCTCAAATGATTAGACATGCGATTCTGAACTTGATTTATGGAAAATGGAGCCCAATTCTCTGGCTCCAGGCCTGAATGCTGGGACGGCAGAAACCCATACTGGAAAAATGTAGTTTTCCAAGTAAACGAGGGTGATTAATGAAGAGGTTCTTCTCAGTGAGCCACTGTGCTCCCTGGAGCTGAAAATGGAATACTAGGGCTGATTATTCCTAGCACCAAATGATTACTGATACAATTTTGAATGTCGCCATAACAATAGGTAAAACAAAACAATAAAAAACCCCAGACTTTATGAAAAGAAAATAAAAACTCTATATATTGAGAGTAGAGATTAGTTTGTCTAAATTAGGCCAATAATTCATGGAAAAAGTCAGTTGAGAGCCATCTAAGTAAAAAGAAAATTAATATAAGTGGGATGTTTTTTGGTCTAGAGAGAAAGAGATCAATATTTTGCTCATTCACTTTACAAATTAAGAACAGAGAGCAAACAATCTACCAAGACCAAAAAATAAAATTAGTAAATTAAATAAATAATAAAATCAGAGTAAATAGATTTAAGTTACTAGATTATAGCTTAAAAGCTAATTTAAAAATACATATTTATTTTATAAAAAATATATCTTTATTTTATATTATGACCATTTGGGTTGGGGTGTATGTGGAAATGAGCAATAGAAGGTAAAGCCAACACGCATGAAAAAAACAGATGTGCAGCACACACCAATACCCAAAGGATAAGGAATCAGATGTGGTGATAAAGAGATGAAGAAGGGGGAGAGACAGAGATAGAGACAGAAAGAGCAAGACAGACTTGTATATACAAATGAAAAGACAAAGGACAAAAGAAACGGACAGCTAGAAAGACAAACATTTTCATTAGTTCAACAAATATTCATTGAGGCAAAAACAGACCCAGAGAGATGGGGATGGCAGACAGAGGTGGCTCTGTAGTTTTTTGAATCTCGTCAAAATGAACCAGGCTGTAGACTATAACTACAAAATTGTTTTTGAGGGCCTACTAAGTGCAAAAGCACTGCGCTAGACACTAAAAGATTCAAAAGGAGGACTACAATAGATTCTCTACCCTCTAATGACTTATTAAAAAGTTTGGTTGGGCCTATCAGTGAATTATCTGCCGGTTTCATCATTCTTTAAAAATGATGAACTTGTTTGGAATTTATAATAGGCCTTTGTATAATGGCAGGCAGGATTTCTGCTTTGATTGTTATTTTAGATTATAAAGACTTCATAAAGGAACTCAGAAACAAAGAACTTTCCTTTTCATCTTTAAAAGTCAGAGGCATAAATAATAACCAAGAGGGGAAATCTCTGGTACACAAAGTTGCTTGGTGGCCTGATCTTTGTTCTTGGAGAAATTATTCTTGCTTCATTCATTACCTGGCATCTGGAAGATATTTGAAACCATCTCTTACATTTTTTTAAGTTCAATGCTATTTTTGGTTCATTTGGGTTTTAGTGGGAATGAACAACCAAACAAAAATTATTACATCTCCCACTCCCACCCCCAAAAAACAACTCTGAAGAAATAACTTTATGAATTAATAAATGGAGAGCTGCTACCATTTACCTACAACTAGAGCCATGCTGTCCATTAGAAATATAATGTGAGCCACATTTTAAATTTCCTGGAGTTACGTTTAACAACTTTTGAAAACGTAAAATTAATTTTACTAATATATTTTCTTTACCCCAATGTATACAAAATATTATCATCTTACAATGTAATCAATATCAAATTTATTAATGAGATACCTTACATTCTTTTTTCATACTAAGTTTCTGAAATCAGTTGTGCATTTTATACCTACAGCACATCTCAATTTGTATTAGCCACGTTTCAAGTGCTCAATAGCCAAATGTGCCCAGTGGCCATCATATTCAAAACAAAGATCTGGAGTGCTACTCCTAAATGGATTGTATATCCCTTCCTATTGTTAGCTCTACTGAAGGTCTAACCAGATTAAAATAAAATCTAAAAGCCAACTTTTGTTTTCCGAGCCCCCTAAGTACATAATATTGTCGTTTTGCAAGCTGCCTGGTGGTATTTACCTTTTGGGCATAAAGAAGGTGAGTTGAGGTTTGTATATGGATTTGGGAAGGTACAGCTCTCTTACTTAAGCAAAGCAACCAGTCCATCAGAGATTAAGAAGTAAAACTCCAGGTGGGAGATGATGACTGGAGAAACCAGCCCTGCTATGCACTTAGGGGTGACTTAAGCAGGCTTGCCTCAATATTTTCCTTGCATCCTATATAGCCCACGGTCAAGCAGTTATCACTGTAGACTGTAATTTCCTTGAAGGCCCATACAATCATTATCCATCTCTGTCTCTCTAGCACTTAACATAGTGCCTAGCACATAGTTGGTGCTCAATAAATGTCTGCTAAACAAGTAAATGAATTCAAATAAATTCAGTTTCTCATTTGCACTAACCACATTTCTAGTGCCCCACAGCCACACATGGGTGTTGCCAGTGGCTACCATATTGGACAGCACAGATATAGAACATCTCCATCATCACGGAAGTCCTATTGGACAGCATTGTTCTAGAACAATGGGCAGAAATACTATTTGACTGATTAGGGTGACAGGAACCCCTAGATATTACAAAACTTTTCTTTCCACCACATATACTCACCAGCAAATTGGTATTAACTGAACAGCACCTAAGTGGTCACATAGGTACTACAGGAATAGGGTATTGGGCAGGTGGGAGGGGGGAGGGAGATGTGCACCATCTGGGGGATGGTCATGATGGAGACTCAGACTTGTGGGGGGAGGGGGGGAAATGGGCATTTATTGAAACCTTAAAATCTGTACCCCCATAATATGCCAAAAAAACAAAAAACAAAAAAAACCCAAACTTTTCTTTCTTTTTTTTTTTTGAGCAAGTAAGAATACCAGTGATATTAAATAACAATGAAAGACGAAAAAGTACTAATAGTTATATATTTTAGCCTCCTGGGAAGGTCAAATGCAACGCCATTATGGTTTCCACTGATAAAATAAACTTGGCTAGGTATTTCTTCCTGAGTTTCTGTCTCCCTCTCAAAGTCTTCTCACCTTGATTCCCATCAGGCACAATCCTTATGAATGCCCCTCTTACCCTCTAGTCCAAATGTCTCAAATGAATAATTAATGTTTTCCCTTATTTCCTGAGATACATTGGCATGTCCAAAAGAAACTTTTGTACAAAAGCTAGTGGGAAAAACAAAGAAATATAAAAATCATGAAAAATAACCAAGCTTATATATGATATATATATTTTTGAACTTATGTATCCCAGAAAAAGCAATGAGATGCTTAAAGAAATCCTACATTCCCTTAACCTAAAATAATTAGACTCTGATGGCTGATGGGCTAGCAAAATATTATGGCACATTAGCTGTATCCCTTTCCGATCAGTCCCTTGCTTCAGTCAGATTTCTGGGATGCCATCTCAGTTTCTAACATACAGAAAGTAGTTGGTGCAAATGAATATGTGTTTCATTCCCCATTTAAGGATGTCCCTTTAGAATACTTCATTTCTCTTTAAAAGAAACTTTCCCTGTCTCAAAGGCTGCTGTTTGCTAAGCCCCTTCTGCTTAGTTTTACACTGAGACATAAGAGACGTGCTTAATTATAGATGACTTACAGAACTGGTGATTCCTGTCTTTGGCTCTAGTGAATGATCTAACACTGTGGTTCCCATGTCTAACTGATGATCAGAATTATCTTAGGAACTTTTGCAAAATTCAGATTCCTGGACCCCACTCCAGACTTCTGGATCAAATCTCTGGCAGTGGGACCTGGGAATCCTTATCTGTAAGAAGTATGTGAGTTGAAATGATGTACTCTGTTTCATTTAGAGATTACTGATATGTTTCTTCTGTACTCAAATAATCAACTCCGCCTACCTCCAGATCATTCAATAAGAACTTTCTTCAAACCTCTCATTTTGTCACTTTACAGTTTGACAATGAAACAGCATCTTAATCATCCGTACAGATGTAGGGGTACAGGGATAAGAGGAATTTTCACACAAGCTACAAGTTTCCATAACCCACATGTTTTTCTAAAGAAATTAGTTTGAATCTTGTAACTACATGGGATCGAAATGTCCCTACAGAATTCACTGTCAGCCCAACAACAATGAAGATTCCAGCAGGATGTGTTCCTAGGTTAATGAACAGTCAGCCTGCCAGCTGGAAAGGCCAATGTTGAGAATGCAAAACAAAAATATAATCCAGGAAATGAGAAAAATAATTTACCAGAAACCCAAGCTGTTTTTGAATTTGAATGTATGTTGCTGGTGCTCATCTTTTGATATTTCAAATAATAATCACTTACCCTTGACCAATTTTTTCAAATCTTGTATATTTTTTCTTTGGATCCCCAACACTCACGATGCTTCCTGAGAAACAGGTGGGAGAAGGGAGAGAGGAAGAGAGAGAGGGAGAGAGGGAGACAGATTGGAATTAATTGACTGATTTCTCTTTATTTAATAATGAAAATTAAGAAGGCAGAGTTGATGACAAATAAAAAATTAGAAGAATACTCCCATGTGATTTCTATAATTTACATGAAAGATGATATTTTCTATTTGTTAAAATAACAAATAGTAATATATTAATTAAAGTAGCAACAATAAGCATGCTGCTTATATTCAAAATTGATGATGTCTGGAATATATCAGGTACTCAGCAAATGTTTATTAAATTAAACTCAAATAAAATTAGGTATTTCCTTTTGTAAATGCCCTGTTGTTTAAGAAAGGAGTTGGAGAATGTATGTTTTACTTGAGCTATATCTATGGAATGTCACCAATTTAGCAATTTCTGAGTTGGTATTTTATTTTTCAAATTGTCTAACAGATTTCTATATCACTGAGAACCATCCTTATTTAAGTTAGCTATTAACAGGTAAGGGCTTTTTAAAAACTTAAGTAATGATTTTAAAGTCACTTGAAACCATAGTTTTATTAAATGGTTTATAATCTTCTACAAGTTTTACTATAAATTTGCTGAGAAAAGTCTTTTCCATAGACTGAGCAAAAGCAAATAAGCTTCAGCCCAGCCACCTTCTGAATTATGACCCATTCCAATTGGCTGGGTTCAGTTAATGAGGCTTCATGGTAGTAAATTATTCAACCTTTATTTCCATGGTATGTGGTGTTAAACAAAAACTGGAAACAAACTGGAAATAAATCCTTTCATGAGGATTACCAAAAGACAACCATTTTGATGAGATTCTGCTTCTGAATTTAACTGCTATTCAAATAAGATGGCGTCCCCGCACCCATTACCCTTCACAGGAGAGTGTGTGCTGCCATCTACTGATGTTAGGCAAGTGCACAGGAGGCCTTGTTTACAATTCCAAATCACAAAACAAGCTTTTCAAGCCATCTCTTTCATCATATTCCTTATAATTTGCTTTTCTAAATCACAATAAAGAAAAGAAAAAATCATTGTGACACAATAGGGAAAAAAGTAGGAATAATCAGCAAATGAAAATCAAAAGGAAAACAAAACGGATAGCAGAACAATTTCCTAGCAGAGGAATTCCCTAAATAAGACACTACTCATTTTAAAGTATGAGGTTTTAAAAAATCACTAAATACTTGTATTTGAAAATAGGGTTCATGATGTGGTTTCAGTGGCAGAAAAGCCCATGAATATATTCCCTAACATATTAAGCTAAGCTGAACTCCCACCATTAAAAGATTATCCCTTTAGCATAATGAAGGTTTTGATTCCTGAGAAAAAGCAAAAATAATTCTCTAAATTAATATCAGTCCTACCTGAGGGTGAATTAGGAAAAAGAGTTCTTAGTGAGGAATGTTGGGAGAGGGGAGGGACAAGAGGAATAGGTGATTGTGGGGCTTGGAAGAGGGAGGCTGAAGACAAATTTCCTGTGTTGCACAATTTTACTGACAGTGCCTTTTGAAAATTTTCACTCCAATGTAGGTATTTCTTTGTCTTCCAGCAGATCCAGACAGACCACAATGAACAAGCCAGAGCTAGGCTAACTGTCTGTGTAAAACTGAAAGATGATCTGTCCATTTCAGCCATTACTGATCTCTTGGTTTGGCCCCCACAATCAGTATCTGCATGGAAGATGAATAGCCTGGCGGCTCTGTGGTCTGGGCTGCCCACCACCGAGTAATAGGACTCCTGAGGCTGAAGGTGAGGATGATTTACTAGAGGCTGTCATTTCCTCTTCCTCATGCTTGTGGGGTCCACTCTGGTGTGGGTTGTTGGCCATCCCTCTACCTCCCTGCCTCCCTTTTCTCTCTCCTTTGCCTCTCAGCAAAGCATAGCACAGGCTCCTCTACTCCTTCCTCAAGCTCCAATGGGGACCTTGAATCCAAGGTCCTCAGTGACTTCTATATAGGGATCAAAGATCTGGGATTATTCCTGTTTTCAAGCATTCTGTCCCATTTTAAGACCTCATGTCCCATTTGTTATACTGAAAAAAATAGGGTCACTCTCATTTTGTAAAAATAGCATAATAATGATTTTATATTACTATTTATTGTGCTAGATGTTTTACACACTTTAACTCATTTAATACTCAGAAAACCCCTATTATATATGTACTATTATTATCTACATTTGTCAGATGAAGAAATTGAAGTTCAGAGAGGTTAAGTGACTTGCCTAAGGACACTCAGCTAGTCTGTGTCTATGACTCAGACCCAATTATGACTCATGCCATGGTATTATCTTATTAAGGCTTTTATATTCATGTAAATAAAACAATAACTACCATTTATCAAACACCTATGATGTGCTAGGTACTGTTGCTGAGGTTTTTACATGTATTATTCTCATTTGATTATCATAATGATCATAATGGTATGAAGTTGGTACTATTGTTATTCCCACTTTTTAAATGAGGACATGGAGGCTCAGAAAGTTAAATAACTGGTCCCAAGGTGACACAGCTGGTAGCAATGGGTCTGTGATTTAAATGTGTGTCTTTTTATCTCCAATATCTGTCCTCTTAAACATAGGTTGAACACCCTAAAATCCATCCTATAGACAGAGTCCTAAAATGTAGTTATGATTGTTATCTCCACTTGACAGATAAGAGACTGAGCCTCAGAGGGGTTAAATGACTTGTGTAAGACAAGTGTGAAAGTGGCAGAGGGAGGGCAGAGGAGGGTAATGGTGGAGAAGGAGCAGGAAAAGCCTGACTTTTCAGATTTTGAGGTATAGTTCAGCTTGGATCTGCTTCGTGACAGGCACTCCCCCATTTCTCTGCACATTCTCCCTGCCAAGATCCACAACTCCAAGGTAAGGATGGCAGTCACAGATGTCCCACTAGCTAAAGGGAAAATGATTCTAGGCCCAAACATGAAGTCCAATAGATGGAAAAAAACCCCACTTAATTCTTAATTAAAATGGAATCAAAGTTAGCCTGCCCTTCTTTATCACATTGCTTAGTGCAAAGCAGAATAAATGACAAATCATCATAAAGACCACAGCTCTAGCACCATTGCAGTTTACAAGCAAAGCAAGATTTTAGCCCAAGAAAATAATGCTGGTTTCTGTGTCAGCTAACCTAGCAAAACTATAAATGCATTTTCATTATAATAAATTTATTGATATTTGAAATAAATACCAAATAATAGTTATTTTTATTAAAGTACGGCTGTTAGATTTTTAAAATCTGATTTACTCTCATGGGCCACATCTACATGTACAAAATAAAGGAAAAAAATTGAGACAATTGTTTGAATAATTGAACTTATATTATCCAGGCAATTCTTTCATTTCTTCCTTCCTTTTTATACAAATAGACAGTTGGGATGTACAGAAGCAGAGTGAGTAATGGAAAAAGTATAAGTTTTGAAGGCAAACAGATCTGAGTTCAAACTCTGGCTCTGCCACCATTAGTTTGATGACTTGGTAACTTAAGCTTTTGAAAGCTCACTTTCACTGATCTGTAAAATGAGAATATCAAATTCTACCACAAGGAGTTATTGTGAAAATTAACCCCAATAACGTACATAAAGTGGCCCATACAGAAGGTGCTCAATAAATGAGAATCATTATAGCAAATGGTTGGTATTAGTACTAGAGACATATTTAATCATGTATCGTAAAGTCAGTTAGCTGAAGTCCAGCAATTGCAGTTCTGAGTGCTCACTGACAGCTGTAACCCCAACCTTTGCCTTTCCAAATATATTTAGCTCAAAATCTCTCAACCTCAGCAATGTTGGCATTTTGGGCTGAATAATACTTTACTGCGAAGGGGGAGAGAGGGGAGCTGTCTTGTGCATTGTAGGATATTTAGAAGCATCCCTAGCTTCTATCCACTAGATGCCAGTAGTACTCTCTGAATCATGACAATAAAAACTGTCTTCAGATGTTGCCAAATGTCCCCTGGAGGACAAAATCGTCATACTACCACCTCTGCAGAGCCTCCCTGTGGCCTATAACTGGAATTGCTTTATTCCTTTTCTGAGATCTCTTAGATAAAAATTTGCAGGAAACAAGACACTCCTATTCTTTAATTGTATTGCACTATTAAATCTTATCTTCTAAAGAAAATTGTAAGTTTTTTGTTGTTTTATTGTGTTCTGCAAAGTTTCTTGCATAGAACAGATAAGTAGGAACTCAGTAAAAATAACTTTGCTTGCTCATTTTTTCATTCATTCATTCAAAAAGGATTTGTTGAGTGCTTTTATGTGACAGGAACTCACTGGGAGTTGGACATATAGGAAAAAAAAGGCACGGTTCCTCCCTTTGAGAAACTCACAGTTTAGTGAAGGAGACAGACTAGCATGATGTGATATTTGCTACAATAAAGGTGGTAAAGAAGAAGGGCCCTTAATACAGACTGGGAGAGACAAGGAAGGCTTTCCTGAGGAGCCAACTTTTGAGATGAGTTTTGAAGCATGAGTAGGAGTTAATCAAATTAGGGGGCACTGATTGCTAATGTCTAGCAATCTGTTAGATGCTTTTGTGGTATGAGTTTCATGAATATGCTTCACAGACTTTTGACTCTTTTCACCAGAGAATGCATTTTTATCTTTTTAACCCAAAAAACTAACTAGAAGGCAAGTGCTTGGTAAGCATGGAGCAACAAGTGTGCATGCACAAGCATGTACACACTAATAAAACTGTGGAAGGAGACTGCTAGCATTAGCTGATTCTCTCCCTCCCCACATAGGAACACTCCTAAATTAAGGCTATGTTATTTGTGGTTGCAAGTATTGACTGATCATGTTGGACTTTGAGGGTAACTTATCTATGATCATTGATCAGATGGGATACAATCAGAAGATTGTATTCTTCTGTTGTATCAGAAGATTCTGAGATAGTCAGAAGATATTTCATCAGACTGTTTTATTCCTTTTGAAGGCATAATCTTAAAACAGAACGTACTACTTAATTCATTTTGTCAAGTTTTCACCTCAGTTGACTTTTTCAAGTAAAAATATTTAGTTTCTGTCAATTAGAAGTGGGAGGAAGGGAGCCATCTGGCATATCTGGCATATACAATGAGTCCCAAACTTTTCATCTTGTGATTTCAGGCAGCCTGGAGTTCATACAAGCAGATTCAAACTTCTAAAGGATCAATCCCCATTCTCAATGGTTTACGAGAAACCCTCTCATGAAAAAAGCAATGACGGCAAAAGACTCACTTAGCTTTTCTAAGATCTCCTCATCTGTCATCTTGGATTTTTTCCTTTGCCGATCTGTGTTCCTGTACAAAGTACTGGAATTGGCATTCTCAGCGGAAGGTGGTGTGACCTCTTTATTTGGTGCTGCTGGTGAAGCAATGGATTCAACCACGGAACGAGTGTAGATCTAAAAGACAAAACCCAAAAAGTTCTAGAATTAAAACAGCAGGCCAATGAAAGAATATGGTGTCAAGGTATTGTCCTACCAATGAGTTGTTAAAGACAAGTGGTTTTCTATTAAAAAATAACTCTTAGTAGCTTCAAGTACACAGCCATTGAAAGATCTTGGGAGCTAGTCTTTTGAGGTCTCTATATATGCCCTGCTGTATTCTGTATTCTAGTCTTGGTGCCTCTGCATGTGCAGGTCTTCCTACCTGATTCACATGGATTTCCTTCCCTATCTTAGCTTTCTCCAGCAGTTTTATAACTTAGCAGTTATCTATACATTGTTTGTATTGGTATTGTTCTCTAGTGTTTAATGAACTCATCTTGTATCCTCAAACAGCAACCTCAGAACCTGGGTCGTATCGTATACTCTAGTTCTGGGAACATGGGAGATGCTTAATAGGTACTAGTTGATTAACTACATTGTAATTCTATAACTGCTCCAAAGCACATCTTTTGAATCATTTCGAAATAGTCACTGGTGACTTACTGATTTTGTATGCTCTGGTCTCGGTGCAATAACTGGTGGGGGCTCATTGTCGTCTTCTTCTTCTTCCTCTTCTTCATCTTCTTCTTCAGACACAGGAGGAGCCAAAGGAGGCTCAGATGCTGTTTTTGTACTCTGGCGGCAAAAACAAAGTTTAAAGACCAAGTATTAACTCCTCAATGCTTTTCTTCAGAAATAAGACAAGGGAAATGAAATATTTAAGTATGCAGGAATAGGAGGGAACTACATCTTTTACAAATGAGCAGAATCATCAACCATTTGGTGCCTATGACCTGCTCACATTCAGAGATAAATTTATATCATGGTTTAAAGGACTATGAAGTCTAAAAAAATTCTTTTTATTTTTCACTGAGATCAAAAACAGTGTACTATTATGCATTTGATATTTTAAAGGTCAATGTTTAAAAAAATACAATAAAAATCAAATTAAGTGCTGTTAAAGCCTTGAATCTGTACTGGGCAGATTACCAATGTTGATTGACAGTCTGTCAACTTGAAAAGGGCTGTTTTCTGCCTAAAGATCAGAGCATGCATATAGATATGATATTAATACAGCCCTGTGAATACTCACTAAGAACAAGCAAGCCAATAAATGTTTCTTCCCTGTTCAGCCAACTGGAAAGAAGCACTCAGAGAGTAATAGACATGAAGATCTAAGAAATGCCCATCCACATAAATAATTACTCAATATTAACCAACAGGTAAATGTTGGTTTACAATGTTTTATAAACTGCAATAACACAGCCACCACAAACAGCCATGGTGCCTAGGGTCAGTTCTTGATCATTCACATTACTGCAGTGGTAAAATGGTCCCAAAGTTGGATTTTGAAAGAACCATAGCCATGGTTGTGAAAGTATGATCTCCCAATCAGCATCATCAGTATCATCAAGGAGTTTGTTAGAAATGGAAACTCTCAGGTTCCATTCAGACCTATGATTCAGAAACTCTGGAAGTAGGGCCCAGCAATCTATGTCATAACAAGCCTTCCAGGTGATCCTGATGCCTGCTCAAGCTTAAAGACCACGAATTATGGTATAGGACTGTACTGTTTAATATAACAGCAATTAGCTACACATGGCTATTGAACACTTAAAATATGGCTAGTATGAATTAAGATGTATAATGTATATGTATAATGTATATTGTATAATGTATAATGTATATGTATGTATAATGTATATGTAATGTATAATGTATATATGTAAGTATAAAGTACACCCCAGATATCGTATACTTAATATGAAAAAATTACAAAATATTTCCTTAATGCTTTTTATATTGATTATATGTTGAAATGAAAATATTTTGAATATACTAGGTTAAAGAAAATAAATTATTAAAATTAATTTCATCTGTTTTTCCTACTTTTTAAAATATGGTTACTGGAGAATTTAAAGTTACATATATGGTTTATATTATATTTCTGTTGGACAGTGCTATTATAGGTGGTCCTTGGGTTTTGTTTTGTTTTACTTTTGTGTATATATTTATTTGGTTTTTGTTTATGCCATTGGGTGTACTGGCTCAACATAATCCTATAACAAATTTTCATTTCTTGAAGGCAAAGTTCCTAAGGCAGTTATAGGCAGCCTATGAATAGAGTATTACATTGAAGGACCTCAGTCTGTGATTAGAATCTCAATGTGGCTTTTCTACAGTCATGCATCAACCTACAGGGGAGTCATAAGGCATAATCATATATCTGATAGGAACCTGCAAGATTTATCTACTGTGAGAATGAAGACAACCTAGAATTTATAAACAAGTATTTGTAAGAATATTTGATTGCCTTGATATAGATGCTGAGTGGTTTATAGATTGAAGTTTATATGTTTATTGGACATTGGTTTTCTTCTTTATGTACCTATATTTATTCTTAATTCAGCCATAATAATTGGGCTATTCTTTTATATTGTGGCTATGTGGATAGCAACATATGTTAATAACATTAAGTTTTCAGATTAAAAAAATAACTTTTCTTTTTTTTTAATTTCAGCATATTACAGAGGTACAAATGTTTAGGTTACATATATTGCCTTGGCCCCACCACAGTCAGGGCTTCAAGCATGTCCTAAAAAAATCACTTTCTTCCTGTGAAATACTAACTTTTAAGGGCACTTCAGTGGGCACAGGGAAAAATGGCCTTTGGGTTATTGGAATTTGCTTTGATATTATGTTCCAGAAAGTTTTGCTCTATCTTATGTCCACCGGTATCAAGAATGCACCTAATCATTGTTCCTTTGTAGGAGGGCAGAACCTGCATATAAGCTGAGTACTTTTTTATATGTCAAATGGTACTATTTTATCCATTAGGCAATAGGAACCTTGCTCAGTGATGATAAGCTTGACATGGGCCTATGAGAATGTTTGAGGTCAGAAATAAATAATCAGCTCTGAAAAATCACAAGAAAACTATAAAATCTCAATTAACTAATGTCTAACTGTCTAGTAAGATAATATTCAGACTTTAGTTATTTAAATTTAGCATTTATAGAAATTTCATTACATTAAAAACAAATTGGATCTAAAAATGGCCACAGTGGCAATTATAATGACTCAAGGTCTGGTCTTCTCCAATCCTTAGAATGGTACAAAAGCCAATCAGTGCCTACCAGCCAACGGGTAATAATGTACATCTCAAGTCTTGATATTTCGCTATATAAGATCTCTCTGCAAAATTTCACTATTTCTTAACATTTATTACAATCTTCACTATTCTAATTTCAAATGGAGGACATTCCTCATCTCCAAGGATAGGCTTGGGGGACTATTGGAAAACCTGAAGGTTTTTGTCCTCTGAAGGTTTGTGGGGGAGGAAAAAAACAAATATTTCTGTTTACCTCAGACCAAACACTATCCTTCCATGTTGGTTGGTTGACTGGGAAGAATGAGTGGCCTTCAGTGGATAGTATGTTTTGAATTATGGTTTGACCAGGGATTAATCCCCCAGCAATCCACCTAGAACACTAATCCTTGGTACTAAGAACTAAATATAATTTCCTGCTCCTGTGTTAAAAAATACTGAACCAGGCATACTTTCCTATCCCTGTATATAATATTAGAACTGGGCATATTTTCTTTTCCCTGCATTAAACAATATCAGGTCAGACATACTTTACTGTTCTTATGTTAATACTGAGAATAAGCAAAAATAACATAGCTTCTTACTTCAGGAAATATTTGCTTCTGGAAGATACTGTGAACCAACTAAAGCAGTTTACTTATTAAGACTAACAGCTTGCTCACCAATACTAGCTGTAAGACCCTCACCATGCTGTATTCACCAGTATAAAGCTATTTTATCATAAATACTGCACAATCTTAACCTGGTCCTCACCTTGCAAGATCTGCCTTGCAATCACAAGCCCAGGCCCTAAAACCCTATAAATATTTTCCCCTGAGGTCCCTTTTCCAAGATACTATGACTCTATCAATGTAGTGCTTTCATGCTGCTGTAAGTTTAATACAATTTACAGCTTTACTTGACTTACAGATTTTTCTGGTGGTCTTTTCTGGAGTCAATGGTGCAATATTTCCACACTCTTCCTTCCAGGCTGAGAATTATTATATCTAATATTTCTAAACTTGTAAAAATATAGATAGGTAGTGAGTAAGAAGTATTTTTGTCTTATCAAAATTAGATATTTTTGACTCTTTTATTATACCACACATTGAGGCAGGAGAGGTAGTTCTTAACCTGACTTGAGTCCTGGACTCTTGAAATTCTGAAGGATTTGGCCTATCTCCCCAGAAAAATACAGGTAGACACATGCTTTTACATATATAATAATTTCAAAGGTTCATAGATCTTCTGAAGCCCACCCATGGACTACAGGTTCTGAACCCTGCTCTAGAGAGCACACCAGCTAGAGTAACTACCTTAGGAAACTCCCTTTTCTTTAAGCTTAATTTTTAAAGGTCAAACACTTAGAGGTAAGGCCTTTGAAGACTTTAGATAATACAAAATGTATTAATAGCTTGGGGCTGCTTTTGGTGCTTGTTTAAAATGCAGATTTTAGAGTTCTACTCCAGGCCTACTCTTGGAGTAGAGCCCTGGAATCTGCAATTGAACAGACTCTGCAGGAAATCTGATACACACTGAAGTAAAGGAACTACTTAATCTAGATGAACAAAATAAATCAGTACTGCAAATTAAAAAAGACCAATCTGTCAACTGCACACCCAGTTTTTCTAGGCAAAAATGACATATTCATATTAATGATGTTATCTTCCACTTGAAATACTAGTTCAGGATTCTAAATACATTGTTTTATTCTCAACAGTATAATAAAAATATAAAACTTAAAAATTAGCCTCAAACTAAAGAGTAGGTCTCTAAATAGTATTTGGAATTTAATACACTAATATCAAAGAAGCTACCACAAGTGTGCAGTGAAGCAGAGGTCATATGACTATGGGGGGGGTATCACTGAATTCAAAACTAATTACAATGCCATGATTTTAAAACATTTAGAGAATACAGCATTGCTTCCATTTTAATTCCCAGTTACTAAATGATGCCACAATTTGTGATTAGTTCAGGCTATGTCTATAAGGGGTAGTTAGTTCAATTAAATCAGATTCTGTAGGATAGCCAGGTTTGCTGGGAGTGTTTGCGACACCAAAAGAGGCATACACAGTGTGAAGTGCACTCTCCCCTAGAACCATAAGGAAAACACAAGGTGCAATTCTCCATTCCTAAGAAACTGAATGCCACCAAAGTGATCAAAACTGAATGTCAGGGTCCAATTCAATTATTTTAATCAATAGAAATCTAGCCTTAGCCAAGCACTTAAATCCATTAGCTCCAGCCCTTTAAACTCAACTGTCCAATAGGAAACTCAGCATCATCCCACAGAAATCTGCATCTCCTGAAAGATAGAATCTCTATCTTTTTACCCACCTACATATTAGTTTCAGCCTGCAATCATCTTTGACCTCATCCTTTCCTCCAACATCCAATCAATAATCTAAACATTTCTAGATTTTTTGAATCTAATCTCTATTCCTTCTGCCACTACCTCACTTCTGGCCCTGGATTCTTACAATATTCACTCAATTAGTCTCCCTTCATCTGGTCTCACTTTTTGTCCTTAATTCATTCTGGAAATTTGCTGTCAGATTGCTCTTCTCAAAGCCTTAAGCTTTAATCATTTAATTCTCTTGCTTCAAAACATTTCAAGGGCTTCCCCCTGCATACTGGAAAAGCCAAATTCCTTAGAATACCATTTAGGGGCCTCTATGATTCAGCTCCAACTTAACATTCAAGGCTTATCTCCTATGATTCACTTTCTTGTATCTCAGTTTTCATTCAACCCCATGACCCTTTTCCCTTGTTCACCCCACCAATGTGCCCTTTCTCATGCTTTTCCTTTAACTTAGGATGCCCCTCCCAACTTCACTGATCCAACTCTCATCTGACCTTTAAGATCTAGCTCAAATGCCACCTTTTATATGAAACATTTTTTAACTAAACATTCAACAAATAGATACCAAGTGCCATTTGGTATCAGACTCTGAGCAGACAAGGGTCTGCTTCCCTTCCTCTCTGTAGCAAAAACCAATCTCTTTTCTCAGAAGTCTCATAGCAAATGGACATACTTTATGGTATGTAATACTATCCATATTGTATTGTGCTTCTTTATGTTCATACTTATCTTCCCTGATGAGACTGAACTCTAAACTGCCTATTGCTCATAAGGAGGTACTTAATAATATATGTTAAATAAGTAAATATCTAGTTGTCTTATCTCCAAATACTGAGATCATCATTTTTTCCTGATTTAATGGGATATTTTGGCTATTATGTAGACTTAGTTTTAATTCAACTTACTTTTAATTGTATAAGCAAAACCAACAGAAGCAATCTCATAAGAAATAGTTTATACCTTAGAAGAAAATAAAAACCAATACATAGACCATCCTACCAGGTTGGTGTTTCAAATAACTGATCAAACCTAAAAAAAAATAGGTAATTCTTTGCCAGGGTGCCCAGTCAGGATTGCACAATATGATATTAATTAGTAGTAAAGGAGGTAAAATATGTGTTGATCATGGAAGGTTGGCATTTTTCTCTTTCCCACTTTCCTATTTCCTCCCTTCATATGCTGTTGTCAGTGTGGTCCAGGAAGCTGCCATAGCAAAGAAGATGGAAGAGCGGAAATGATCAGTGAGATGGGAGGGCCACATTCTGTTCTGTTTTGGGGAATCTGAGCAAGGGACAAGTACCATGGCTTCATACAAGCCTCATGTATGTAGAGAGTGAGCTTTTTCTCTTGTTGCCATCTAAAAATAATAAAATAGTAGCTTATATTTAATAAACACATATTATGTGCTAGGTAGTATATAAAGTACATTATATGTATTATTACATTCAATATTCACACAAGTCCTAGGAGGTAAGTACTATTATCATTCCTACTTAAAGCTGAAGAAATAGAGGTACAGAAGAGCTAAGTTACTTTCCCAAAGTAACGCAGTTAATAAGTGAAGGAATCAGATTAAACGCCCATATCCAGAGCCTTCACTTTTTTTTTTTTTCATTTTGAATTGTGGTAAAATATGTATAAAATAAAAGTTACCATCTTAACCACTTTTAGTTGTACACTTCAGTATTATTAAGTACATTGTTGTACAACCATCACTACTATTCATCTCCAGAACTCTTCATCTTCCCAAACTGAAACTCTATACTCATTAAACAACTCCCCATTCCTCCTCTCCCCAGCTCTTGGCAACCACCATTCTACTTTTTGTCTCTATGAATTTGACTCCTCTAGGTACCTCACATAAGTAGAATCATACAGTATTTTTCTTTTTGTGCTGGCTGATTTCACTTAGCATACTATCCTAAGGTTCATCCATGTTGTAGCATGTATCAGAATTTTCTTCCTTTTTAAGGCTTAATAATATTTCATTGTTTATAATATACCACATTTTGTTTATCCCTTCATCTGTCGATGGACACTTCAGTTACTTCTACCTTCGCCTGTTGTGAATAGTGCTGCAATGAACATGAGTATAGAAGTATCTCTTGGAGACCCTGCTTTTAATTATGAGTATATACTCAGAAGTGGAATAGCTGGAACATATGGCAATCCTATTTTTAATTTTTAAGAAACTGCTATACTATTTCAGAGCCTTTACTCTTTACCACTAAAAATCTGCCGTTGTTACACTGACTGCTCACAGTGATGTCAAGCAGGCCAGCATTGGTCCTATAGAAAAGGAAAAATCAGCTTGGACATCCATGACTTCTTAAATAAACACTTAGGAGACTCTCACTAATGCTAATTATTTCACCCCTAAGGAAGCAAATGAGGTAGGAAATAATTTATATCAGAATATTAAAATGAAAATCACATTTGAAAGGGAAGCCTTGCCTGAGATCATTTCTTGTCTAATGTATGTAGGCATTCTTTCAGATACTATAGCACTTCCAAGGACTAGGTTACTTATTCCAAAAACTTAGTCACTTCTCTGATAAAACTATCTATGTGACTTTGGGCAAAGTCACTTCCTTCACTGTACCTCAGTTTGTCAGAACAAGTGATAGTAAAAGGTATACTGTTGTAACCTTAGCTAAGTTACTTCATTTCTCTAAACCTCACTTTTCTTATCTGTAAAATGGGGATAATGGTAAGATTTACTAAATTGTGTTATAGGAGAGATTAAGTGAATATAAAAATATTAGCCCACAGTGTACATTGTAAGTGTTCAGTAAAGAGAAGTTGCTATTAATATGATTATTATTTTCAAGATTCTATATGTAAGAGAAATAGAAATGTTTGTCCACATAAATCCCTACAAGTACACATTAGTGATTGCCTGGAATAGGTAGGGATTAATTGCAAGCAGGCATGAGGGATTTTACTGGGGTGATGGACATGTTCTAAAACTTGATTGTGGTGATGGTAGCATAGATATATACATTTATTAAAACTCATTGAACTGTACTCTTAAAATAGATGGATTTTATATACTTAAATTTTACCTTAAATTTTTTTAAAAGATTCTATATCTCAAAACTAGATCTGTGCAATTATATTCGATTGGCTCTCTGGAAACACTGATCATGAGAAACAGTTTTCAATTTTTCACTTACCGAAGGATGGGCTGCTATGTATCCATGTGCACTTTTATCTGAAAAGTGAAAATAAAGAGGTTACCTTTGTTTCATAAAAACTGCCTCATTTAGAGACCATATTTAAAAATTAAAACTGCTTGCTTTTGATCAGACAGAAATTTTCCAATTTAGCATTAAATAGATATTATGACTAACATTATACTTTTTCTTAAAATAGCCTACACCATTACATCCTCACCATTTTCTCACCAAGTCATTTGACAGACTTAATAAGGCCACCAAGTGAATCTCATCTGTAGGGAAGAATGTCAAGATTACCTACTCTTGATTGGTACAATTCTATACATCTATAGTAGTCCCCCATTATCTGCAGTGGTTTTAGCTACCTGGAGTCAGCCATGGTCTAAAAATATTAAATGGAAAATTCCAGAAATAAAGAATTCATAAGTTTTAAATTGTGTCTCATTTCGAATGAATTGAAATCTCACACCATCCCACTCCGTTCCACCTGAGATGTGAATCCTCCATTTGTCCAGCATACCCACGTTGTCTGCTACCCACCCAGTAGTCACTTAGTAGCTGTCTCAGTTATCAGATTGACTGGCATCGCCATGCTTGTGTTCAAGTAACCCTTATTTTACTTAAGAATGGCCCCAAAGCACAAGAGTAGTATGCTGGCATATTGTTATAATTGTTCTATTTTATTATTAGCTGTTGTTAATCTCTTACTATGCCTAATTTATAACTTATACTTTCCCATACATAAGCATATATAGGCAAAAACATAGTGTGTATGTATGTGTGTGTATATATATATAGATATGTGTGTATATATATATAGATATCTATATCTATATAGATATAGATATGTATATATACATATAGATATATGTACATATATACATATACATATATATACATACATACATATACATATATACACACACACACATATATATATAGGGTTCAACACTATCCTGAGTCTCAGGCATGAGCTGGGAGCCTTGGAAGGTATTCCACATGGATAAGGGGGACTACTGTATATCTAGGATTTTTCCCCCTTTCCTTTCTCCCTTATTCTCTCCCTCCTTTCCATTCCTACCTTCCACATGTCCTTCTTATCTCCACCTTTTCCTCCTCTTCCCCTCCTATCCTATTAGTCTCAACGCTAGAGCATTCAGAAAACATACAATGAGTCTTACTCAGCTAAGTATAGTGCAATAGCTCAAATACTGTTGAGTTCTAAGGTAGTTGTCAAGATTTCATCTTTGTAAGTTGAAAGAATTTGGCATATAAAAATAAAAGTGTTAAAGAGTAGCGGCTGCTTGGAGGAAAGAACAAACTTTGAGAATCTGAAGGGTATTAATGGTTACACTAAAATGATTTCTTGAATGCATTTTCAGTTTTAGTTGCTTATCGTTCTAACATAGAGCATGGCTCTTGATTTCCTCACATTAAACATTGCTGATGTGTCACCAGGACCTCTTAGACATTTTATTCCATGTGGAAGACTAAATATCATAAAGAGTTCCCCTTGATGGCTTTCTTCTAAGGGTTTTGATATTGGAAAACAATGGTTAAATTATCTTATCATTAAAAAAGAGTTCAATTTAGCATATAAATTGCCATATGCCTTCAAGTTTGAGCTTTGATATTGCCAAATCAGATACTTCTCCCTTTCCAAGTGTATCCTTGAATTATTCTCAAAGAAACTTAAAGCCTTTCCTATACTAAATCCAATGCCAAGAGGTAGGTGCACTTTATAGCTAGGGTGCTAATGATAGTATTTTCTTCTTTCCCTAGATATTGAATAATAAATTGTTCTAGAGAAACAGCCTGGATCATCTTTCTCAAAATGTGAAAGTATATTTTAGTATATACTTTTCAGTTGCTTATAGTGAAAATTTGAACATCAAAACTTCAAACAAAAGTCAGGTCTACAAACTAGCAAATGATGTTAAGATTTGGCAGTAACATGGCTATTTCAATTTCTATAAATGGCCAGACATGGTTTACTTTTTTCAGTCTGATTTTGGGGTGTGATCAAAATAACCTGACACCAAAAGAATTTCTGCTATATTATCATGGGGCAAATCAATGAATCTGAGAGATTAAATAAATTTCCAGAGACCTTGGTTTGACCCATGGTCTTAACTTCATGAACATATCACAAAGCTTGATTATAATCTTTATACCAGTAAAGAGACAAAACAATTGTGACTGCCAATCCAAGCTAACAACTACTGCTTCACTGAATAATTCCTTATTTGGGTTCTAAAAACATTCAAGTAATATAAATCTCCTAACATCAACCTCAAATTCCAACTCATCTTTTGGTTTACTTACACTGAAGCCATTTGGAGAAGGTACTAGAACTCACTTTGAATGTTCTACACACATTTTGTTCTAATAATGAAGCTCTGAGATTGGAATGACTTCTTCACCTTTTCATACCTTAGACTTCCTCTTACCTCCTGATGTAAAGCTCATGTATTTCTGGTTGTTGACTGTTTCTTTGGAATCATAGAATTTGAGAACATCTAGGACAGCTTGTGGGTTCTTCTTCTGTTCCAGTTTTGTAATGTTGGAGGTTTGGAGTAATCGTGCCCATTGCTCAGGAATTCCCTGTGGACAACCAAAGGGAAAGAATGGCAGCTCAGAACATTTGGCAGCAGCATTTTTACGTTCCAGTAAAGTTCTTCACCAAGAAGCCCATGCTACCTGTAGGATTACACTTGGGAAACTGAAGTTACATTCTAGATTTAAAGTTAGTAACTTAATAATGCAATCATTCTCTTCTCTAATTAAAACACATAGGTAAAACTAGGATCCAACTTAAAAAGGGTGGGTGGGAGTATGACTGTGATAGAAAAAAAAAGCACATGAAAATCACCTCCATATTGACTCTGCTCATCCATGAAATGATGTTTACGGCTTAGCTTATTTTGTTCTGGCGACTCAGGGCAGACATAGCAAGACTTCTCTAAATTTGTGCACAGCGTAGTATAGTGCAAATCAATGGGTTTCATACAACTGGAATAACATGTGCTGTTTCTGGGCATGTTGTAATCAGAATATATTTTAGAATAGAAAGAAAGCCTCACCCTTGGTCAGTTTATACTTTGTGATTGCACAATGTAATTTTTTGGATCTAGAGCTTTAAAATAAAGGCGGATTGGGAGGAGACAAAACCAGAATTTTGGAGTAGCAATAACCACTGAGATGCTAAATAGTAACATTAATGCTGCTTTGGGCATTTCCCCTGCAGCTTGCTCTAGGGCATGCCCTCCTTCTCTCCTCCCTCCCTCCCTTCCTCCTCACTTCATTTATAGGCCATATAGAACCTGGGGACTAAGAAAATCATGCCAAAGCCTTGAGAGAATTTATAACAATCTGAAGCATTTACGACAGAGAGGAGGGAGTATTTGGATATCTAACTGAGGAGAATTGCAAAAATTACACAGAGAGGTTAGCTTTGCATTGAGCATTCAACATTCTTTCCTACATCTTCGGCCTACAGATGTCCCCATTTCATAATTATCCAACCTCCAAGAGCAACTTGGAGAGAGAGACAGACACACGATTCCTGAAGTGCGTCCAGAAAAATTTTTGTGCCTTTGTCCTATGAAGTCTCGGCAAAACAATGTGTGACGTGGGCCTCCAGAGTTTGGGAATGACAACAAAAAAGTGAGATAAGCCAAGCAACAACTCTACTGTACACACATGAACCTGCTGCTGCAGTGCTATGACATCTCAAAGAAGCACTTTGATGCAAGCTTCTTTTGGGCCTGTGACGCACCTCTGGGAGCTTCCCTGGGCACATCTGTGAGCCATAGAGATCTGGCTGTAATGGACGTAAATAAAGAAAGAAAAGAAAGTTAAAACAGAATGTGGGACAACTTAGAAGGTGGGAGGAGATGAAACCAATGGGTCTGAATGGGGGGGGGGTCCCTTCTAAAGTGGGGCGGTTATGAAAATAGGGAGGTATTAACTAAATCAGGGACAGGACAGGCTACAGGACAACAGATTTAAGAGAACAGAGAAAACAACAATGTTCCAGCAAAGTTTGGATGTATAATTCCACTTTTGGCCAGATGCTTCCTCCATAAATATGTAATAATAGGAGTTACCATTAAGTGACTGAAGAAATTACTAAAAGGCAGAAACATGAATTTGGAGGGAAGAAGGATGGCATCATGAAAACCTTTGACAATAATTTGTAAGTTGCTTTTATAATTGAGTGATCACAAGTAGCCAATGGCCATGTGATGAACTTACAAATTTCAGTTCCCAAATCTGGTTAGCCAATTTCAGTTTCACATTGAAAGTGTGTGTGTGGCTAAAATTCAAAGGATGGCTATGTGGTAATGCTGAATTTTTGCTCTCATTGATATGTTCTTCTACACTTTGTAGCTAAAGTCATGGCTGGCTTACAGAAAACTAGATAAAGGATGTTCCCACACAGCCAGACTCTATGTTTAAGTTTCTTAGATATTTAGATCAGGGAAAGGGAAACCATTCCATCTTAAGCCATATATGAATAATTTCCATTTTAGTGCTACAGATCCAAAATCCCACTTCCCACAAAATAAGATCAGATATAGGGTAACAACGTTGTCTAAATAAAGATATCTCAAATGCTATAGAAACATGCTTCGACCCAACTGGCTTGATTTGGGATATACGTCCTTGATTCCTGGCATTTGGGGTTACTCCAAGCACAGTAAAACAACACTTTCACATGCATTCATCACGCAGTTTGATGCTAAAGCCTTAAGCCAAAAATTTGAACTCAGGAGCCCATGCATGATCCCAGTTCTGATTCTAAGTGCAATTAATAGCATTTGGTTAATACTGTAATGGCCAAAGGAGTTATTAAGTGTTACAAATTGAGGTATGCATTGCACATAACCACCAGAGCAGACATCACTGGCATGATCATTACCATAATCATTAGAATATTTGCAATTATTATACATTCTTATGGCACTTCTAAACTTTTGTGATAAATAGTCTTGTGATCACTAGACAGCAGGAAAAAATGCTGTCAATTGCAGAAAATCCTCCAGACAACTATACTTACCACATAACTACACTGCTGACATAATTTCTTTTCTCTAAGTTGAGACAAACCCATTTATCAATGAAACCTGACACTTAAATTTGAATGTATGCCACAAAGGCACATAATCAGAAAGCCATCTGATAACTCCAAATTGAGGCACAAATCTTAAAACTTAGAGACCTAGGAGTTTGAGCATCAGAAGCAGGAGCACATATCAATGCCTGACCATGTATACGATAACAACTAGATGTACATCAAGCTGGGGATTGTCCAGTGTAGCCCAGGAGAATGGCAGCATGATATAACAGGCCAAGCATTTATCTTATCATAAGAAATGATAATTTATATCACTCATACCATTTTTCCCTCTGATTGACTTGAAGCGACCGTCACAGGTCTAGAGGTCTGGAAAGGGGAGTTCTGAAGTATTTGGGACAAAAATGGCAATATAATGGGTAAGGACTTGTAATAATTTAATACCAAAAATCTCACCTCCCAACCTACTTTTAGCTTCAGGGTCCAAGTGTATGACCAGGTGTACAGGATTACATGGGCCATTAGCCATAGGGTAATCACCAAGCAACACACCAAATCAGTGTCCAAACATTCAAAATAACAGGCCCTTGTAAGACAACTGGATTAGACAGTTGAACGAATTGCTCAAAATTCAACCTCAACAACCACAATAATCAAATTTAGCAATATGATCCCCCCAACACACAATGAATTAGTGGTACTGTGGCAATTAGGACCCAATTCTAAATCCTACCAATAAAATGATTTTCTTAAAAACTTATTATTTGGCATTTTAAAACTTAATAAACATAATAACATAAATGTAAATCATAGGTTAAAATAGTAAAAAAGGCAGAATTTGGTATCTTTAAAAATAATGTGTGGATAGTAGTTATAAAAGATAATCAAGATAACAATAAAGTACTTCCAATTTTCAAATCTAGGCTGTGTCTTTCTATATATTTAATGGATTTCTGATAACTGATTGCTTCCAAATAGCTGTTTTATTTCAAATTGTGGGATTTTTTAGGGGGGAAGGGTATTTGTTTGGTTTGGTTTGGTTGTATCCAACTGCTTTTCCCCACTGGAAAGACTGTGCATCACATATCCTGTTCCATCCCTCTCTGATTGGTTCTTTGGGTTCTAATTGACAGCAAAGTGAAAATGACTAGTGCTGCAGTCAGCAAGATGGTGGTGATTCACTTTCTTTCATTTACATTCAGAACCCCAAAAGGACAAAGAAAGAGCTAAAGATAGAGATATTGTATCACAACATATCGAGTAAGTTGGAAAAGTAGAAAGAATATAAATATCGGAAATGAACCAGAATGTCACATGAGATAACTGCAGGAGCAAAATGTCACATCAGAAAACAAACAAACAAATAAACAAAACATCCGAGAGTAAAAAAAAAAGAGAAAAAAAATTGGAATGACAACAATAAAACATAAGTTTAAACAGAAGAGAAGCACAGAGAAAATAAAAAGGTCAAAACTGGAAAGATAAAGTTCTTAAAAAAGGGAAGCATTATTAGCACAACTTTTATAAGGTTTAAGGGTTTTCCTTGTATCAAATGTAAGAAAGAACAGTTATAATCTCTTTATGACTCTTAAAATATAAATTTTTTTCAGATTATACAAATTACTTTTTTTCTGGAAGTGATGGTGGTGGTGGTAGTGGTAATAGTGAGGTTATAATTTCTAAGTGTAACTAAGAGAATATTCTAGAAATATAGTAAAGGCCAAGCTCAGACTCAAGGCCACTTGAATAAGGTCTCTAACTCCAATGACAAAATAGATTAAATCTTACCTATCTCCACTTTATCATTGTCAATATTTCTTAACGTTCTCTTCTGTTTGCTACTGAGAACGCAGAAATAATCAGCTCACACCACTTTACAAGGCCAAGATATTTACTCAGTTTCAATTTCATTCTCACATTGCTTACTTCCAGAATTGAAAAAAATAAGATAATTAGACTGTCAATTTAGCAACATGGTTTGTTTTTCCATATCATATTAATTTGCTCCTTCTTTTATGTTTTTCACTTAATCATGTGACACAGTCTACTCACTAACCATCATGTTATGAAATAAAAACTTCAACTATTTAATATCTAAATTTCTCTCTGGTTTACAGCCCAATAATTAATGGTGAGAGTTCTATCAAAGATTTTTTTCCAAATGCATTTAAAATTACTCCTCATTTCAGAATGCACATTTTGATTGAGTTCCTTACTAGTATGGAAAAAGATAGCTGACTATTCTTGGGACATATCTTTTCCCTCATCCATCTAAAAAAACCTGGATCTTAATAAAAAAGTATAAAATGTCATAGATCTGAGATCCTGTGCTATGTAAGCACTAGAAATAAATATACCTATTAATAATCATAAAAATAATCTATGTTCTTGAAATCAAAGGAAGAACAGGTCAGTTTTATAGAGATTTTTGGTTAGTGTGGCTAGCTGATCTGAGTAATCCAGATTTCAATGTACAGCCTGAATTATTCAGATGGATTGTCTTCCTTGGCCAAATTGAGTACATGATTCTATGATTCACTTAGTATGCAAAAGAAAAAGCTCAGGCAGGGTCTCTCTATTGGGACTACATTTTCTGTGTCATGGCAAATTAATATTAATATTTTCAACCAAGTTGAAGACAGGACAGCAAGTAGACATTTTATTTAAGATGGACAAAATAAATTTGCCAATGTTGCTGCTACCCTCTATTTCCATCTATGATTGTCCAGGCAAAGTCTATCTTATTTGGAATCATCAAAAACATAGTCTGACATTTGGGACATGGCATTTCTTGCTTGAAATCTATTTTCATAAAGGAATCCTTTCATGGCTTACAAAACAAAATAAGGAGCTTACTTACAGTGAATTCCCCGGTGACTGCATCAAACCCCACATGAATCGTATGCTCAAAGTCTGAAGGAAGAGAGATCTCTGGGCGCTCTTTCTCTTTCTTCTTATTGGCTAAAGGCAAAATGTTAACATGTATTTATTTGGGGTATAGTTTTGGTATCCACAAGTTGTACAATTAGGTTCATCAAGAACAATTACAATGTTGAAAGACAATTGATTCTAACACAATTTTAACAATACTTCTTCAGATATTCCTTCCAATTTCATTTGCAGAAGTGGCTAAGAATTTGATGAAAAAATGTTATGTCCAAATAATTCAAAAATTACCCAAACCCAATTCAAACAAAACCCTCATTTAAACTGATTTATGTCCTTTAACAGGCTAATGGTTTAACCAACAGGCATCTAGGGATATTATCTTTACTGGCTTTGTTGTATCTGTTAACTAAAGAAGAAATTCTTACACTCAAGTCAAACTAAGGCTTACTATTAGAAAGAAAGAATAGAAAAGAAAAGCATGTTATGAATTGTTTCCATGTTAACTATAGCTAAATATCAAGTGGTTGGAGCCTCTTTCATTTACATATTTATGTATATGGGGGTGGGGGGATAGTCTCATTCTGTTGCCCGGGCTAGAGTGCCATGGCATCAGCCTAGCTCACAGCAACCCCAAACTCCTGGGCTCAAGTGATCCTCCTGCCTCAGCCTCCTGAGTAGCTGGTGCTACAGGCACGCACCACTAGGCCAGGCTAACTCTTTCTATTTTTAGTAGAGATGGGATCTCACTCTTGCTCAGGCTGGTCTCAAACTCCTGAGCTTAAGTGATCCTCCTGCCTTGGTCTCCCAGAGTGCTAGGATTACAGGCATGAGCCACCGCACCCAGCCTATAAAGCATATCTTAATAAAGTCTTGGTCTTCTTTCAACAAGAATACTATTGCAAATCAATGATGTTACAAATCTATTTTTATCATTAAAAACATTTACAATCATTTCCTACTTAGTGCTTTGCTAGTTAAAAGCTACAAATTGCTGCTTTTTATTACTTAATTAATTTTATTTGGTTCTTAGAAAACTCAAACCAGTTCCTTGGTTTAGTCTTTCTAGTTTGTAGCTATTTTCCCATTTTCCCATTATATTCTGTCATACTACCCATTCAAAATCATTGCCTTTCTCAAGTAGCAGATTTTTCAGTTACACAGTTATGAATAAATGTATCAATAGCTAATAAGTTAAAAGCCTTTAAAGATATAATCACTGAAGAAATTAAGTTGAGAACTATAATGAAATTAGTCTATCTGGAAATAGTTCCCAGGAGGAAGTTACTGTGGAAACATTCTAAAATGGCATCTAGTAGCTTCTATAGCACACATATCAGCAGATTTTAGCATGTATCTCTGATAAGACTGCTTTTCACACTGCAAAAATAATACTCATCCTCCTAATATTGGGCAAGTCAGCATGAACCAGGTTTACCCAGTTGAAACCAATCAATTTCAAAATTGCCAGGGTGGTCAATTTAAAATATATTGGTCCAAACAGATGTTGCTTTGGCCTGAATTACAGGAAACATTCAACTATATATGGATTACTGGTTTTGTGGGTTTCCCATGATGAATTTCAAATTCAAAACTTTTCATGTTCAAATGCCATTATTATGACTTCTTTTCTCTCTCTCCCCTCTCTCACTGCTCCATATCTCTAGCCAGAGGACAAAGATACGGGGCATAAATATGAAAATTTAAGTAGTGAGAGGGACCATACAGGATCAGGAAAGAAAGGCTGGAAGCAGGGGGACAAGAGTAACTCAAAGCCTATGCCTAGCCATGGAGCACATTTAGGACTTATTCTGAAAAAAATACGTGCATATTATCTAACTTAACTTCAGCACAGATTCCATTTTTACAGTGAGCCTATTTTAATGATGAATACTATTTTAACAGTGAAATTTAGAGCTTTCTGCTGGTACTCCTAATTCCCTTGCATGTTTGTGTACTGTAGCTACCATTTATTCTTGTTCAACTACCATTTTTACTTGCTCAGAAAAGCAAACAGAACAATAAGCCTTCTGTTCTTGCCACTCCATGGAAGTTGTCCTAGTCACTCCTGCAATCTTTTTGTTATTTTTTACCTGTCCTGATCTCCCATCCATGCTGGCCATGGCTAACCGTCTCTTTTTCCCCTTCCTCAACAACGTGGTCTGACTTTTTTCCTCTCTCAGTGACCATTCTTTCTTTGATTGTCATTGCTTCTCTCTCTTCTGCCTTTGCTAATATAGTCTTTGGACTTCTGCAGTCCTTTCTCCATACTCATTCATTTCAATTGTGTCCACTCCCAGATACTAACTCATGTTAGATCATTCCCTAATTGGTGATTAGCAGAGGTGGATCCAGATATTGGGGGGCCACACACTTTATATAATTTGAGAGTAAGGCTCCCTTTAAGTAAAAAAAAAATTACAAAATAGTGGAGGGGCCCAGGGAGAGTCCCAGGTAAGTGAGGAACTCCGAAACAGCAGCTTCATCTGCTTTATAGTAACAAGCTCTTGGTAACCTTTTAGGGGTCAAAGACTACTCTGAAAAATCAGAAGAAAGCTGTAGAACTTCTGCCCATAATAATACACTATTACACACATATATATAATTTTGCATATATTTTCAGAGGTTCATAATTCTCCTAGACTCCAGGTTAAAAGCCCCTATCTTAATCTATACCTCCAAACCTTTTATCGATTTGGATTCATGGCCTCTCTTGCTGGCAAATAAACTCTTGCAACTTTTCTATTAGTAGTGGCTGCATGTTTGTAGCATGTTGACTTAGATGCAAACACCCCACTTCCACTTTAACTGAGTTATATGCAGAATTGGCTTAATGGTGTCTCCCTAGAAGGCCACCTGATTACCAGTCCCTTACCAGCCAGACATTCCCTTCCCTCTGGGCTAAACATAACAAAAGCAGGAAGCCCAAACTTGCTCCTCTTCCAGTGCTCCATATATCTCATTGAAATGGTACCACTAACCACTCAGATCAGAGAAGGAGTAAGGCCTTATACTCCTCCTTCTTTGGGAGGCTCTAAACAATGAAAAGATTATGAGTCTCCCTTTCAAATATGCAATTCAAATAAAAACAATACTAAAGCATAAAAAAGTTAGGAAGTCAAAAAAATTATGTTCCCACAATGATTGATTGGAATCTTTTTAAAAGCTATATATCCAAAAGTCAACTCTTTCCACATTTTCAGTGCTCCTGATTAGCTAGATGCCATATGCATCTGCTTACTATGACTATGGGGTAGTCCAGCACTGGCCCAGCTCTCCAAACCAGAAATTTGGGGGTCATCTTGGACTCCTACTTTATTTCTACATTAATTGATCACCAACTTCCATTATTTCTCCTAAACTGGTCTTGAATCTCTCATTTCCCATATGTTAAATGTTCATGCTCCTTGGCATGATATCCAAGGGCTTGCATGATCTGCTCCTAGCCGATCTCTCCAGCCTCTATTCTTGCCATGGACTCCACTATCTATATTCATTCCATGCTCCCTAAACAGCCAGGTTTTCTCTTACCTCCAAGCTTTTCCACATGCTATGCCTATGCCTGGAAAATCTTACTTCTTACCCCTCCCCTCAACATTGTGTGCATCACTCTCATCAGTCCTTTTCTTTGAAGACTCATTCTTGGGCTTCTCTCCTATGACAAGCCTTTACCTGTCTTCCCTCTGCAGACAAAGTTAAGTGCTCTTCCTTTCATGCCCTCATAAAACTACTCGGTGTATACTCTGAGCTTAGCACTTATCAGCACTGGATTGTTAGCTTTTTTTCTTTACATATTTATCTCTCTAGCTAAAATTTGAGGTACTTGACAGCAAAAGCTGTATCTTATTTATTCTCACATTCCCTAGCACTTGGCTTGTGCCAACACACTTAAAAACTATCATTAATGAAACACTTGCCACATGCAAAGTACTTCTAGGGTTATCTCATTTAATCCCCACAACAATCTTATGAGGTAGGTCTTATATTTATATAAGAGAAAAGAACTTTGAGAGGTTAAACCACATATGCAGGATTAGACAATTGGCAAGAATGAGAACCAAGATTTGAACCTAAGTCCCCACTACGTCTCCAGAACTAAAGCTCTTAATAGATACACTATTACTCAATTCTAAAAAAGCCAACATATTTGAACCCTAGCCCTCAGCAAATGTTTAGTGACTGAATGGAGCCTAGATGAGAACTGGTTTTTGTTTTGTTTTGTTTCTTTAGGAACACTAAAATATCTCTCTCCTCAAAATCCTGTGAGCATTGGTCATTTATATTAAGACTCAATCTGATCAGCTCTGGGTTGATATTTGCAGAGAGCAGAGTCCAAATGAGTTGTTTCTAAGTATATGTCTTGTATTCTCCTAAAACCCAGAACAAGGTCACAAAATGTTGACTGGACCACAAACTGCAAACAGCATTTGACCTTTGGACTCATTGGGTATGCATAAATTCTGGTTGTAACTCCAGGGCCCAGCTACTCTCTCCAAATCTCTTACTCTGACATTTTTTCCATCCCACTACCTTGTAAAGAGAGAAAAACCCCTCTAATCATCTATCATCTCCTATGTGTCCACTCCAATGTTCTGCAGTTCCTCTAGTGGCTAGGGCTTGTCCTTTTAGATATAAAAGTTTCTATACCTTCAACCTCTTCATTAAATGCTCTCTTTACTTCTTGACTTAGTTTCTCAAACTCCACTGCTCATCACTGTCATCTGGGAAACTTTGGGGAGAAAAAAGGGTGATGCCAGAGCTCCACCCCCAGAGGTTCCTATTCAGTTAGTCTGGAGTAGGTCCAGGCATCTTTATTTTTTTTAAGCTCCTCAGGTATTTCTATTACATAGCTGAGGTCAAGAACAACAACCTTTACCCCTACTATCTAATGAGGGTACCACTTCCTTAGGCAATCCTGGTGGAGGCTGCTCATTTCCTCCACCCCAAATCCTTAGGCCTGGGCGAATGGAGAAGGCAAATTCTCCACCCCCTTATTTTTAATCCAAATCATTTATTTGAGATCAGTACTCCTGCACCTGCTTACAAAATCCTCTCCTTTCTACACCCCGTCCTGC